ATTTTTGATGGAACGCAAGTTTATCTTCAAAATGAGTCTCAGTAAGGGTTTATTGAGTAATGAGAGGAGCTGAGTTGGCAGAATATGCTTTATTTGATTTCGATAATATTTTCGATTGATTTCGATAACTTATTTTTCGTTTCTGGAATAGTAGATAGAACAGAGTTGAACGAATGATGCTATCAAAAGGTTAAGTTATCTCCATCATGAGAGAAGAAAAGAAAAAAGAATGTAATTTTCTCAATGGGTGGTCTTTATTGTATTCGTATTGGGTTGCAGGGCAAATAATTCTACTAACCTGTTTCGAAGGAGTGTTTCTTGGGCAATATGTGAGACAGGAAGCTTAATAGCAACAAACGATACTGAAGGCCCAGTCCAAGTAATGATAATTAGACACTTTTACAGGTACCCATCGCAGTGCGAATGTTCAGAAAATTTCTTTATTCTTGATAGATCGGGAACATGCGACACCAGAAATCACCTAATACCAAAAACGCAACCCGAGAATTGTAGATCGAATACAATTCAGTAGATCATCCAAAGTCTTTGATAAAGAAGATGTGTAAGGTGTTTCCAACTTTTTTCACTATGGTGACGATCCCTGCCATGCCGGCTCTTCGAGTAAAAGAGTGATGAATGAGAAATTGTTTGAGATTGTGAATGAGATTTTCTCGCTTTATAATCAAACTTCCTACAAGGATTTCCTGAAATTTTTTTGTTTCGATAATTATTATCATCTTTCCCTCGATCCATATCTCATCCACACTACGATACTGAACAAATGAATCATTTGGTTTTTTTGTTTCATAATAATGCTGTGAATCTAGCATAAGCTTGAAATGTTGTAATATAGCTGGAAAGGTATAATTGTCCAAGCTCATTGCATTAACAGCAGCTGCAATTTAATTGCATACGAGATACGGTAGGTCGGGTACTTTGCTTTGTGAGTCGGTATGTAATATGATACGAGTAACGAGAATAATGGAAGGAAATAGAGATTAGTTGCCATGGAAACATTCTCATTTTGAGGATTATGCGATTGTGGGAAATCTAGTCACGTCTCATCAATATGTAATTTATAACAGGTAAACAACAAAGACTTTCGGATGAAATAAGTCATAAGCGATGAAAGATAGGATTGGTTCAAGAATGGATACGTATATATCTTTTTCAAATGAATAAAAGCAATTTAATTTTTCCATATAGTTTTGTTTTTTTTTTAAAGTCATTGGTGTCTGGTGTTTTCAAATCCATGATCAATTGAAGCTGACTCATGGTTGAGTAATATTGTAATATAAATGTTTAAAGATCAAGATGAGCGGTTTCGTTAAAGCTGCAATTAGGAGTTAAGTCAGGAGCGTTGCGCCACGCGTTCTCCTGCAGTTGTGTTCCATCATACAGGGATCATCATTATCAAGGAATAAAAGGGTTTCCGCTCGGTGATGAGCGGGAACCTTTCATTTCTCGATAATGATGATCCACTGCATGATGCCATCTGCCTAATAGCACAGCTTTACTTTTTTCTTGGAAAAGGAAGTAATTCGAGTAAATTCAAAACTTAATAGGCTAATTAAAACTTTTAAAAATTTGAAACAATGTGCTGAGTTCATGTTGTTAATATCCTTACGTTGGTTGTCGTGTGTATTGGAAGTACTTGCCAAGTAATCAGAGCAAAGGTTCATTGAAGCTTGTTAACAAGTAGATAACAATATACAAAAAAATGGGAAATAGACTGGGTCGGATAACGAGGAATGTACGTGAAGATTATTGATATTCGGGCAGGAGCTGCATTAACAATTGTCTCTACTTGTAGCCTAATAATTACTCTGTATACAAAACAGGGTCAACAACACCAATTTGATCAAGTTTAAGACCTGAAAAATAGAGAACATTTTTTTCCTCATAAAAAATGTGAATGGTGTATTTTATTATGAAAAGATGGTCTAATTTTTTCTCATCTTGGCAGCACGACGTTTTGCAGCTTCCCGAAGAACTTTGATATTTGGTATCATTTTCAAATTTCTTTCGTAGAACTCGATGACACGCAGCGGATATCTATAAATCCCAGATTAATTGAATTTTATCTTAACACTAGCTCACCTAACGTTAGCAAACCTAGCTGGAACAAGAAGAGCTGTTCCATCTCTGTACTTAACTACAAATTCAAGCCGACCAATAACACGAGAGATTCCAACTACCATAGTGACCTTTAAGTTGAAAATGGCTAAACAATAGGTTATGATGACTCACATCTCGTTCATTGGTGATGACATAATTCGGAAGGTCAGTCTTGTGCTTGACTCTTTCCTCATACTCTTCTATGAGTTCTAACGCATTTATGAAGTCCAGTGGCTCCCAAGTGGATTCTCCAATGCTGTATCCCTGAAAATAGTACCAATTACAGTCAACTTTAGTTTCAAAAAATACCTTCCATTTCAGCAGATACTCTATTGAACCATTAACAAATCGTTTGTTCATCACTTTCTCAACAATGTATTCTTCCTAAATATTTAACATATTTCAAACTTAAATGTGAATAATAACGTACCGGTTTGGTTGGTGCACTAGAACCTGGCGCACCATCCCCTGCAGGAGCACTATCAGGTTTGTCAGCATTTGCAGGAGCACCATCAGGATTGTCAGCATTTGCAGGAGCACCATCAGGATTATCAGCATTTGCAGGAGCACCATCAGGATTGTCAGCATTCGCAGGATCAGCACTTGCAGGATCAGCGTTTGCAGGATCAGCATTTGCAGGATCAGCATTTTCTATAGAAGAAGCAGGCCCAACAGGCCGTTGATTTTTTTTTCCAATACGACGTTCATCAGTTTTTTCCGAACCACGTTCAGTATTTTTCTCCAAACGACCATCAGAAGTTTTTTCTAGTCGACGATCACTTGTGGGAGTCGGAGACTTTGAAATACGCTCGAGCTTTCTTTTGGCCATGACGAGAAAGTCAAACCACTATTTGATTCTGAAAAACAAAAATTAGTATAAAAAATTTGAATCTAGAAAATGAGATAAGACCCTCTGACACCGCGGCACGGCCGTCAATGAGGTTTGACCGCGCTTGGTTTGGCGCGTGAATGATTTTGCGCTGGGGCGCGGCTTCGCCTGATTCAAGCGCATTGGGGACGCCGTTATTCAAAGTGGGCGTGGATAACATCTCATATAAGACTGGGGGCGGAGAATTCGATATGTGCAAAAGAATTGATTAGCGCAATAGGAAAAATTGTCGAAATTATAATCTTAAAAAGTGAGCGCAAAGTAAGAGAGTTAGAACATGCAAACACAGAGAGCTGTACAAAACAATCTTTCAAGGAATACTTTTACAAGCCGTCAAGAGTGAGTTTCTAGGTTTTGAACATTTCTAATTTGAGATAGAAACAGTTTGATGCAAAAAATATGATTGAACTTAAATAACACACTTAATCGAAGATATGCAAATGATAATTTGCATCATACAACAGCTTATCATTTCATTATTAATTTTCTTTCGATGCTGCATAGCGTAGCCTATAAGAGATGAATCGATAAATGAATTTCCATATGAAGAACGAATATAAAGAATCAAAAAACGTTCTCACAGCACTAGTGGAATAATGATGCTTTGATTGATATTGGAGCGCGTTTACTGTAAACCATAATGGTTACAAGATTGTAGATAACGTGCACGTCATATTTTAATGTTACATTTTATTGATTAGCATATTACTATCATGCACTGAAAGTACGATCAAGAAGTGTTATGAGCTTAACTATTTAAAAAATTGAGAAAATTTTGAACAAGTTAGAAAATTAATAAAATACCTGTTGATATTATGAAACAACGGCTGGCTCTGGAGCGTTCTTCAGCTGGCTAATTAGATAGATATGAGATCTTCAATTTACTCAACGTTAGTTAAAAAGAATTTTGTTTCAATAAAAACGATAAGGTTAAGCGCGAAATGATACACGATAAAACAAATTAACCTATGACCTGATAAGATGATTATAACAGGTTGCCAGTACAATTTCTTCACTGATCATTTCGTAGAAGACCACTACTGTTAATCTCCTTATCAGGACTTCTTGTTTGCAACTTATTCATTTTCGGCCTTATGACAGGATTTGAAATGACGAGTG